AGAAGCTGTACGCTAGTCTCTTTGTGTCGAGAGTGTCAGTATGTATGTATGTGTTTTGTATGGCAATTTGTGCCTACTGCCATTTCTGTTTACCTGATTTTTTGCTCTTAGCGACTAATCTTTTTCAGGCTAATACACTTGCATTGTTTGATTTACCATAAGGGACCGCATAGTCTGTCTAAAGTTGAGAGTTAAGAGATAATTTTTTCCTTGATGAAGTAGTTTTCATGATCTTCAATTTTTTGTAGGTTACTTCCGGGGGCTCGGAGTCGATTCTCTTGGCATGTCTCGCGTATCGAAACCAAGCACGAGAAAATGGTATAAAATGCCCTGAAATGTAAGCGACCGATGATTACTGGGATTGCCGTTCGTCTGTGATTGAGAGCACGTTAGCACGTTGACTTTTCAGGTTAGTGCCAGTAAGCGCTCATGCCGCATTCGACAAAGCGGCCGAACTGTTCGGCATCAAAATCCGCCATGTGCCTCTTCATCCGAAAACGCTAAAGGTGGACATCCACGAAATGCGCAAAATGCTAAACAAGAACGTGTGCATGGTAAATTTTTAAGTCTTTGTTATTTTTTTAAGATTTTATTCCCTCCTGACTTGTTACCAGGCGGAACAAGTTTGGTATAGAAATGGCAAGAAAAATCATAAAAGTTATGGTACACGAGGAAAAGATAATAGATGACCAAAGTATAAAGGAAAATAGGGTGAGGAAGAAAATAACATGATATAATGACAAGGAAAATATTAAGTAGAAGAAGCAGAAGATGGTGACGATGAAGAAGAAAAAAGCGAAGAGGAAAGAGACGAAGATAGCAAGACGAGGGGTTGGAAAAAGTAGCGATGAAGGTGAAAGAGGAGAAGAATGAAGGAAAGAATTATGATAACGAAAGCGGTGGAAGATGGTAAAGAGACAAAAAAGCTATCGAAAATGAATATAAGAAAAATAGTTTAAAAAATTAACAGTGATGAGGGGGAATAAGTAGAAGAAAATGATTATGGTAGGAATGAAAAAGAGAGAAGAAAATAAGAACAGGAAAGTTTGATGGCAAAGTTTAAATAACAACTTTAATGCTAAGGTAAAAATTATTCTGGAATAGATCTTCAGGTTTACAAATGGTGGATAACTTCACTTTGTACCTCGAAAAACTTTGTTAATAACATCTAACTGTTTGCTTATTTCTCAGGAGGAGGATTACTCAGTGTATATGACATAGCTGTTGATTGCTATTTGAGTCTATTCTTTGACAGGTAGACTCGTATCTGTTTAAATTTGAAACATCGACTTTGTCGAATGAATGTCCTTGATCTAGCGCGCGTTTTGCGGTCGTTGTGAATGTCCAGTGCAGCCCGGCGAATAGTAGACAAACTTTAATTACTTGATAATAATGCGGGTGTATCACAGTCAAGTCTGTCGTAAATTAAACTTTAAAAGTTTTTTTGTGCCTGAGAAAATGCAAGGAAAAGTATAAGTGAAGTTATTAACCGGGCAGAGCATCGAGAATAACTTCAAGAAAAGTTTAAAACGGTTTTACTTCGAATA